ACGGACCTGCTCGTTCAATCGGAGCTCAATTTCATGCTCGTTTGCCCAGTCAAATATCATTTCTACTCGGTAAACAATTATTTCTTATTTGCGATAAAAGTCCAATCTCGGGTTAGCGAAAATGCACCAAAATTTGCAGATAAGTCCTATAATCCATGCTCAAAGTTTCAAAACCTTAGAAATAATTTTTCGACCTTTAAAACTAATAATGAACCCTTTAGTTGCCACAATTTGCTGAAATAGTGTCAAAGCATCCAAGAAGCTTAAAAGCTCACCCAAAACTCATTTGGCACTTCCCGAACACAAACCAAATATGCTACTAGCTTGAAAATGACATTTCGGACTCAATGAAATCGTCAGAATTTGAATTCGAGGTCTCCTTGACCCGGTATCCGATAAGGCGTCAAGAAACTAACTTTAGGCCCAAAAACTCGAAACGCACTCGGGGCCTCTAAAAATTCAACCAAGACTCATTCTAGACTTAGAATCACCCCCTGAATCCAACGGTGCCCTCGGAATTCCATTTCGAGCACCGGAACCTCGTTTGTTGACCAAAGTCAACTCTTGATCAAAATTTCACAATTTTTGCAACTTAGGACCTCAAATCTTCGTTTTAACTCCAAATTCGACTCAGTAAATTCTCATAGACCCATTTCAACATTCTAAAATTGCTGGAATCGACGGAAATCCGATTCGAGTCTCGAAACTCCAAATGACTCGAAATAGCACTTTTAACCAAACTTTAACTCTTAAAAACTCAACTTTCCAAAAACTCAACTTTTCATCAATTTTCCTTCAAACCAACTTCGAAAATACAACAATTAGGACTCGGGGCAACTATCGGGAGGGGTAAAACGGTCATTTTATGAAAATTTCCAAAAATGACCTTTAGGGTCATTACATTGTGACTCTCTTCAAGGGTTGTGACTTTGTCGAAGGGTTGCGACATTTATGAAAGGTTGTGTCTTTTCTAAAGGGTTGTGACTGTTTAGAAGTTGTGCCTTTTTCAAAAGGTCGTGACCTTTCTGAAATGTGGTCTTTTTTTCAAAAAGTTGTGACTTTTACCCTTTGTTGGCTATAGATAGACTTTCTCTCATTTTTCTGCATCGAATTCTTCCCTTCTTTTACATACATTTCTTACAAAACAAAATCGATCGATCGTGTCTGTGTGTGTGATCTCGTTACTGTCTTTTTGAGTTCGATGAAATTATCGAAGTTTGAGATACCGCTACTTCTTTAATGCTTAATTTATTTTATCTTGGGAGAAATTAATCTACAACCTCGAGTACTGAGGGGATTAAATTTTTTAAGGAAACACAGTGAATTCTCCTAATTGTACTAAAGGTTGTAGAAATTGTACAGTAAATTTGACTTTCTTTTATTGGTAAATGAGCAGGTGTCTCACTTTTGCTTCGGTTTGTGTACTATTTTTGCACTATCACTTATAAGTTTCATCTTCAAATAGTTTTTTATGTTTCTGTTATTAGCATATTCTCCATCTAACAATTAAGTTGGTAATTTGTGTCCTCTGATTTTACTTCTTCCAGACTGTTATTCTAGCCAATAGACTAATAATTTCTTTCTTTTTCTTACGAGTTGTTGAGAATTTGAATCCTTCAAATTCTTATAATAAGTTCCTTTAGTTGAAAAGTTGTTCCTATGTTAATGACTTTTAGTTGATTTCCTGAGACAAACATATGACTGAGTATTGAAATATATTTTAAAAATTGAAGTGTTTGACCAAGTTTTTGGTAGGCCAAAAAAGCTTATTTTTAAAAGGGAAAAGGGTCAAAAATACCCCCAATTTTGGTTTATTGTTTGACTTTACCCTCGCCGTTAAAATGAAGTTAATTTTACCCCTCCCGTTACTAATTTCACCAAAATTACCCCTCATTTAGACGGAATCCCCAAAATTGATCCAAATTGACCCAATTACCCGGAATTTAAAAAAAAA